AATTAATAAAATAAACTCATAAATCCTCTTTGATTAATTTATCCAGTTTGGGAAAAAGGAGATTTTAATTGAATGACAGACGCTAGTCAATTCGCTATAGACGCGCCCAATATTTTGCCAAGGGGAGGTTCAACTTGATAAACCAAAAGTATACACAAGTAGGACCATAAAGCAAGCAAAAATAAACTGTAGCGTTATTCAAAAAGAACAGTTAGTCATAACCTGGGGAGTAAAGAATTGTAAGCTGTATTTATATAGAAGACGTTTCACCATAATTACTGTTCATCATTTACTCACGTATCTATTCGGGTTAAAGGACGCACAATCATTGTTAATGTGATATCGGTTACAGTTATCTGAATACGACTATGAGATCATATACCGGGTGGGGGCAAAACATTTTAATTGTTAATCAAGTATCGCATGTTAAATTGTTATACTACCCTAGGGAAAACAAGTTTAAATGTTTTTTTAAACACGCATAATAAACATAATAAGCAATTATATAATTGAAAGTAAAGGTTATTAAAACAGCTCCAGTTAGCGAAATCTTGTTCTTAGCTACATTAACATGTGGATTAATAAACTAGGAGATAATATGGAAAACACTGACCGATAAAAATATTTCAATTCCAGATTTCAAGGACCCGTTCACATAGCATCAAATGGCAGAATAAATAATCATCATATTTCAATTTTATGAACTATTATAGACTCAGAGTTTTTTTTTCATATTTTATTGATTGATAAATGTTAAGTATATTTAGATAGTTTTTTATGTATTAAAAGCTTTTTAAACATGCCTGTAGGGGTAGGTGGAACTCAATCATAGGTGTACAATTTAGATCTCTTCTTTACAAGACATGTACATATTTTAATAAATTATAATGTTGGAATAAATATTACTTATATTTTTTATTTAATATTCTAACACAACAATTATAAATTTATAAAAACATGCGTATAATACTTAAATTATTAGAATTATTAATAAGTAAATCTATTTCCCTATAAGAGGTAATTTCTTGTTCTATGAAAAGTAAAATTTATTAAATAAAATAATTATTTGTACTTTAGTAGTCAATAACAGTGGCGTGGTGATAGGATTATTTGCAAGGGGCAAACATGTACGTTTTACCTACTTATCCTTTAAAAATTTACAATATCTTTCTATTTTTATTTAATAAAACAACTTAATTTCTACAAGTAAGTTATAACTGGACCTAGTTTACTATAACTAATAATAAATCATAACACAAAAAAAATATAGGAATGTTATGTAACAAATATTGGTGGTAGGAGTTACTCATCAATATTTAAGACAGGCAATTGTCCGTTTTGTATCATATTCGCAACATGGTCAATAAAATTTAACTGTTTTAATCAAAATAAAGTTGTTTCTTCATGCGAATTTAAAATATTTTACGTTTTATTATTTTTTATCCTAAAACATAATTCGTTTTTCATCACACATCTTAGAAAAAAATAAATTTTTATTCATTTTATTCAAGTATCGTTAGTTAAAATACGAAATTATATATATATGCTATAGGAATTAAATCATAGGGCCCGAATTAAATGTCAGGGGGTGCAAGGATACACCCGGAACCCGTCATGTGCACTTCTTGGAACGCAAACAGATTTCATACGATTTAATTTACTAGATTTTTTTATTAAATCGAAGATGGACAGATGATGTGACCAGTGTTTCAGTACAGGGGGTCTATTCTCAAACGTATCGAACCACGCTTTCGATCAATAGTTGATCGAAAACAACTTTGATTTCGATTGATAACAAAAATACTATTCTCAAACCGCTTTCGATCATTAGTTCGATAGGAATATTTGACAATATACAACGATAGTGAATTTGGTGTCGAAAACTGTTTTCGACACACAATTTTCACTGTAATCAACTAATTTATCAGTTTTTTCAATTTATTGTTCGTACTTGTATCGTATTTAGTACTATAATCTATAATTAATAATTAAAAGAGTATAGTTCGCGAACGAGAATGAATGTTTAAATATTTATCACGGCATTTGATGACGATTTTGAGATTTACAATATGATGCAAATTAATGAATTAAAAATTCAAAACGAAATTAATATTACTAATGAAGTAAGACGAGTTATGAAACAAGAAGATCCTTTTGGTAAGTTTTTATTTTATATATATATATATATATATATATATATATATTTAGTTATAAACAAATATATAATTGCTTTCCAAAAATTATCGATCATTATATACATTTAATTTTTTAGCACTCTCTGAACAACAGTTTATTGGTACTTATCGTTTAAGTAAGGTGCTTGTACAAAAGTTAACGGATGAGTTAAGTCCTTTCATGTCAAGTCCGTCAACAATTGCTGGACTAAGTATTCAAAGAAAGGTTAGTAATAGAAAATAATAGGTACATACAAATTTAAAATTTATTTTTAATTGATTTAATATTTTTTATTTTATTTTTTTTGCTAGTTATTATAGCTCTCAGATTTTTTGCAAGTGGAAGTTACCAGCAAGATATAGGGGAACACAGAGGTGCTGCTGTAAGTCAAGCTTCAGTTAGTAGATGCATTACTGAAGTAGCTAATGCTTTAAATGTTCCAGAAATAAAAAAAAAAAAAAAAAAGAAAAGAGCCCCCAGAAGCGGGGATCGATCGATGTGGCCAGCATACAAATACAAATATTCATACCGTACATGAGTTTCTATTATAATAAAACTTTTATCCAATAAATCTATGCATTACATTTTTTTTTTTTTTTTTTTTTAATTCACGTATAAAGGCTTTTTTATGTATTGCTCGAAGTATACGGAATAGCTGCTGTTCTCCACCCCCTAAATCACTCTGTAAACGTCACCGATATGTATGCGTTATTATGAAATAATCCGTGTACAGGGTGCGCGCGTTTTAAAATATAGTCCTCAACGCGCACTACGATCGAATTCTCCGATGGGCGGTCGATCGTAACCCGTAATACGTTTCAACTTCATTTTCTGACTTGTTTTTACCTGATACGCGTACCCGCAGTACATTTCAATGTCACTGGATTATATTCAATCATCGTTGGCATAATCCGAATAAATATAAAAACAAATAATTTTGATAGCGATATTTTTGATTTATAAGTTTAATGATTTTTACGAAGAATTATATTATGTTATATTGATTATATCGCATCCTTCGTAAGCTTTACGTGGTAATCTCGATAGAATCTTTTAAGAACAATACTTGTACAATTGTATAACCATATTGATGAACATTGTACACTCGCATTTATCCCATGACACGTTTGACAGTCGATACGACATTACTCGTCTGAATGTTGCCTAATATTAAACAATAGTAGATATTTGACTACCGTCAACGGTACATTTTACTTCGAGGACTATTCAATTCTACCATAATTATATAATGCGTATACATAGTTAAATAATTGATTCTTACTTGAAAAATCAAAAATAAATCCGCAATGTACATCATCATATATACATCATGTTAGTGCAATAATTGTTAATACACAAAAGACTGCTAATATTTAAAGCTTGATGAATTTTAAAAAAATTATAAAAACATTTAAAACTAGAATTTATTAATTTTTGATAAAATGAGGGGTTTACAGAAATTTCTATGAGGGATACAGCCCCCACATAATAAGGTACATTTTTTTATTTGTTTATTTATTTTTTTTAACAATAAATGGGTGAAAACCTTAAACAATGTAATGTGATAGTATAATACAGATAATACCTAATTGGTAACACACTTTATAAATGTATACATATAAAAATATATTAAACTAAGGGTCATACCAAAATATTAAGATAAATAATAATGAATAGAATGACTACTATTTTATTGAGGGTAGTTAAAATGATAGGAACATAAAAGTGTAATGATATTTTACTTAATAATATAAATTAGATACCAAGTAAATATTAATAACTAGCAATCATTTATTTATTAATCAATTTATTTAATATTTTAGTTATATCTTTTATCTGCATTATTTTTCTAAATAATTTACTATTGGTAGTTTTTTAATCAATTAACATGTTCGATGGAAAGTAATTATGTAAAGTAATTTATATAGAAATATTATTTTATGGATCCATGACCTTGAATTTTGTTTGTGATTTATTGAAAACAGATTTTAATACTTAAAAAAAAAATTTCAAATTGTCTTCTGAACTACTTTTTTTTTTTTATAGCCAATATTTTATTTATAACATTTTTAAAAAAATTGAATATTACCTAGGTAATTTATAAATATAAATTGTTTATGAAAATGTTATGTTAGTATTAACTTTGAAACTAGTAATTGGTTTAATATTTTTTTATACTAATTTCAGTAATTATATTTTGACTCAATAATGTCGGGGTATAATAATTATGAAAATTGGCCGCAAGAATCAACTTCAAATACAGATGAAAAAGAATTGTCGTCTCCTGAAATTGAACAGGATGATAGTGACGACGATTCTGAAACATCAACATCTAGCACGAGTACATCTGCATCCAGTAGTAGTGGTAGTAGTCAGTCAGGCTCTGATTCTGAAAGTACTAGTACTGCAGATGAAGACGAAACTATATCACTCAAAACTGAAACTGTAGTGGCTAATAAAACTGAGCTTAGTTTACCTGTAGGAATGTGCGAAGATGAAGAAGTTTTCAAGCAACTTTTTTCTGTTAATTCTTGGGTATGCTTAAGTGACCAACAAAAGCAACATTTAAAGGTATAATTGTGTAACAGAAACTCACCTTTATACAAATAAAACTTATAAAAAATGAAATTAAGTGTAAAACATACTAACATTTTTTTTTTTTTTTTTTGTAGAATTTTCTTCCAACTTTTCCTGAAAATGATTTAATGGAAAAAGAAATCACTTTAAGAATGCTTTTTGGTGGTAAAAGTTTTCGATTTGGAGTTAATCCAATTGATGATTTTCATGGCAAATTAAAAAATGGATATTATCGTCCAGATATTGTTAAAATGAAATCTTTGTTAAGACGTACTCTCAAACAAAAATATAGGTATGGATTATTTAAAGAAATATTTTTTAATTTCTGTTAATGTACTTAATTAGTGTTATTAATTGATGTTCCAGAAAAAATCAACGTATTAACCGTTTTAATACATTAAAAAAATTACTCTCTGAAGGAATAGATTTGTCTAAAATTGCTTTGCCTATGAGTAATCATTTTGATCCAACTGAAGATATGTATAGAGAAATGTTGTTATCTTATAAGATAAAACAGAAGAAAATTGAACAAGTATATTTTTTAAAACAATTTAATATTTATGACAGGTATAATATTTTTACTTATTTTTTTTTTTTTTTAAGGAAAAAGAACAAATAAGACTTGACCTAATGAAAGAACAGATAAAACCAGCTGTTTCATTGGGAAATGAGAAAAAGAGGTCAGCAACTAGCGATCGGTCTCGAGTGAAACGAACAAAGGTTAGTAAACAATCAGCACAATCATCTTCATCTTCATCTTCACAATTAGATGTAAAATTTCCTGTGCAGTTGGATGGATTTGATAATATTACAGTAAAACAAGAATCAGTTGAATCAGAACCAATTAGTATTCTATTGATTAAAAAAGAGGTATTTCATGAGCCATCTCCAACTACACCAACATCACCACCACCGCCACCACCACCACCACTACCAATATCACCATCATTACCATCACCACCACCTTCAACACCTATACTTGATTTTATTCAAGAAGAATCAATTAAAACCAATTTAGATGCCATAAAATTAGAACCAAAATTAGTTATAACTGATATTGTTTAGACGGAAGAAGAAATAGTACAAGAGAGGCAAATTGAAGTTGAACCTATCAGTTTAACGGCTGATGAAATACTTATGGTAGAAGAAGGTCAGGCTGCTGCAGCGATGTTGTTAGAGATAATGAGTGATGTGGAAGAGAAGTATAATAATTCGCCATAAATATTGTCATCACCTTCATCTACACCTCCACCATTTGAAAACAATTTAGAGTCCAAGTACAGTCCACCTATTTATCACAATAGTTATAATATAAAATATTATATTAATAACTGATTAATTTATAATTTAGTACGTTATATTGTATTTTGTTAAGAAATTATATCAAAAATTATATTTAATTATATTTGAAAAAATCATTATTTATTTTACACGATTTCTGTTAGCTGTTATTATTAATATTGTAATGTACCTGTTATAATAATAATACATAGTACATTATTATTAAATCATGTAACTGCTATTCTCCATTACTACACCGTTGTATTTTAAATTCTGAGTGAAATGTGGAATGTATTGGCTTAAATATGATGTGTTTTATTTTGTGTTTGTGTACACAATTTCAACCAAAATGATAATCACAATTATTAAAGATTTTATATAGAAAATGTTGTCTAGTTGGTATGTTGAAGAGGTTGATTACATAATTTCTCAACAGTTTTTAATAATTGAGAAATACTGACGATAAGTTATAAAAAAAGGCAACATTTATGTACGGTATATTTGACAAAATAAAATATAGGTACGTATATTATTTTTCTTCGTAACTCGGAAAATAATAATCGTGAATCGTTTTGGTTTAAAAAATTATCTTGAGAATTTAACAAACATTTTTTCAAATATATTTATCACTACTTAATGAAAAAAAAAAATTGAAATTATTTTCAAAAACAATTTTATGAGCCCCATGCATACTACGCACATTCACCACAGTAGATTCGACCCAAGTTCACTGGCCATGGTTTCACTCAAGGGCTTGACCTTGCCATCAGTACTAAGATTCGTGAAATACATTTTCATTTTAACTTCGCACCAATTGTAAAATTAAGCAGGTGGCATATATGCAAATTATCGAAATACAGGAGACTGTTTCGCACGTTCTATGACAACATTTGCAATAGGTTTATACACATGACGCAGAAGTAAAGTACTGGGAGGTAACATAATGGGTTACAGTTCGGGATTGTATCAACTGAAATTTTAGTCATGGACATTATACGAAAATTGAAAGGTTAAACATTTTAGAATTAAACTGACAAGACAATTTTTAAAAAATGATAACTTTGATAAGCAACATACGTTATCAGAAGAATAAATTTGGGAAAAAAAAATAGGTATATTATACCAATTTTTTTTTGTTAAATATCTAACGTTTTTTAATAAATATTTTAGCAAAAATAAGAACATAAATATTTAAATATTTTGACTTTTTTATTACATAAAAATCTGCACCCTAATTATAATAACATTTTAGTGATTTAAATTATATAGATATACATTGATGTAAAGGAAACTTTTTAGTTGGGTCCCGAGATATTTGATTGCTTAAAAAAGCACGATTTGGATCCGCGGTTCTTTAATAATACTCAAATTGGGTCCATGGTCACATTTGATACTACGTGAATTGGGTCCACGGTAGGCGCGGATCCAGCCTACCATAACGGGAGGGGCGGATTATAAATAAGTATACTCTACGAGTCGGCTGGGGCTGGCCGGCTGACGGTTGTCGTCGATCATACGGTCACAATAATATTGTTTTTATCGACAATTCATTAATTTATGTTATAAAAATAAAAGATGAAAATTTGTAATAATAACAATACATTATAATGTTATTACGTAAGATAATGCAATTTAATAGTACATCAAATTAAATTAACACAATTTGATACGGCCAACGGGGGGTCACCCCTACTCCCCCCGAAAACGTGCCTGGTCCACGGTTGATTTTATCTTGTTTTTATCATAATTACCCAACTCAAGTTTTCCCAGTGAAAAATGTGCTTTTTAAATTTCTCCGTAATTTAAACTATATAATTATAAATAAATTATTAGTGATAAAAATAAAAATAAATTAAAATTTGATCTAAAATCAATTTAATAATAACTTTTTACACAAAAAAAAATTCTAATTGAATAATAATTTTAACATTTTAATAATGTAATACGGTAACCTTGCGTTTATTTGGTCGACAATGGTGGTGGTTATTTGAAAAAACAGGCAGACATTTTTCCTGACAGAGAACATTTTGGGAGAATATTTTTCAATGAAGCTATTATGTCTTCAAAAAATATTACTCAAGTAAGAATGTTAAAATTATGCAATTTATAAAGTTTTACTTAAAAGAGTTTAAATGACATCAATGTTTCAGGTAGCCGTAGTGATGGAGAGCTGTACGGCAGGCGCTGCTTACTTGCCTACTATGGCTGATGAGAATGTAATTGTGAGAAATATCGGAACAATTTTTTCTTGCTGGTCTTCCGTTAATAAAGGCTGTGGCAGGAGAAGTCATGTCTGCCGAGGATTTATGTGGTGCGAAACTTTATTGCTCGTAAGACTTATATTTTTATGTTGAATACAATATCATTTTAAATGATGAAGCGTTAGATATGCGTGTCTTACTAACTTAATAGATTACAACAGATAATATCATGGAAAAAGCAATGATTTTTTTCGTCAATCGAATAGTGTATTGAATATTATTTTATTCGATGATCAACATTCGATAGTCGTTTGAGAATACGATAGATCGAATATTCTGTGTCGGATGAACTTTTATGATCGAATAGTGTCAATCGAACTATTCTATTCGATCATCACTTTCGATGCGTTTGAGAATAGGCCCCCTGGTCATTTAGAAATCGTGGACGATAATTTACCAACATTCGTAATATTCAATTAATCCGGTGTTTGACAGTGACGTCGATTTATAGACGTCTCTTTTTGTTTTGTGTGCTCACATATTTTTCGAAGCTGTATTTGTATTAGTGATTGAATCGATTCGATCACTTTTGACATTTTGTACCTTGATTGCAAATATTCGAGTGATCGGGCCACCGATATGGCTTGTAATTTATGTAATTGATGTACTATAACGTGTAAAGTAATATTTCAGTGTTTAATAATGAGTTTTATTTATACATAAAAAAAATAAATAAAATAAAATGCACAATTATTTTTATTTATTATTATACAATTTCGTTTAAAATGTTATCGTTGTTGATGAATACCTAGCGTCATCTATTGGTTATTAGTATACTCCGTATGGCTTGATCAGTTATCCAGAGTGCGCTTTATGTAACTTACACGATACAGAACTCATAATAATTACATATAAAAATAATTTTCCATATAATTGTGATTTTATCTGTTCGTATAACGTATGGTCAAGTTTCTGAGCTTGAAAAAAAGTTCTTAAATACCGTTCAAAACCCTGTAACATATTACAATCGATTTATAAACTATTTTAATTTTTTTTATTAGAATTTGATTTATGCTGAATATTTATTACGTTTTTATGACTGCGAATCTTCGACTTATTCGTTTAATTGTTTGAATACGACAAATTCCAAATTTCGCAGTCGTAGTCATAATTTAACATATAAACATATACTGTTTCATTTCATTTTTAACTAATGAACTTCATTAACTTACACTACTTATTGATAGACAAAAAAAAAAAAAAAAAATCATAAAAATATCAAACATGTAATTAAATTATTATTACAATTATTTTTATGTATATTAACAGAATATAATTATTATGAGATCGAAATGTCACGCCGGATGTCATAATAGTCGTCGCCGAGTATCCTTGCTGTGCACGGATACATTATCACCGGGATATACCATACACACTAGGGCGGTCCTTATTTTTCATTCATAATTTTTTTCTGATCACCTCTCTTAAAAGGTTCAGTCACTAAAATAAATAATACAAAAAAAAAAAATTTCAGTTATTACACACATACAACATAACCGAGTAAAATTTACCGTTTCCCCAACAAAACATTTGATGGTCATAGTAAATTCATTGTAAACCATAATCTTAAGCGATTTTGTTGTTATTAAAATATTTACACAAAATGTACCTACTACGATTTTAATTATGTCTTCTATATCAATTTACCATGACAACCGATTCGTTGTTAGAAAAACGGTGCATGTTACTCGTTTGTTCTATCATTCCACGAGAATTTCGTAACATTTTAGGAGACATTTCAGCGATAATCCATGTAAAAATATGAGATTTTTCTGAATTTTAAATGATGAAATTTACCAATTATCGTCTCCTGCCATTATATATATTCTGACTGATATTGACGGGTTGATTCTGACTGGAAAGTGGTATCACTCAATCGCTTAATCAATTATCACCCTAAATATTTATTTTCCACTTTGAATAAATAGTTGATATAATTATCTAATTTTTTTTTTTATATTTCTTGTAAGGTATATAGTGGTTGCATTTATTTTTTATCTTTCAATAAAACTCATATGCTCAATTGGATGTCATCGCTCATTGTCTGTGAATAATTTACATAATTTTCATTGGTGAAAATCTTTAGATTCAAACTGTAAATGTATCCGGTTTTATTATGCATTCATTATTTACGTCGAACGATGAGATATAGAACACCATAATATACATTTGTTTTCGTGTTCTATCAGCTACAGGAATAAACAAATTTATTTCTACAGGTGCAATTAATAATATAATTATATAAATGTAATGCGTGTTAAATACGACGGAAATCAGTATTTTGTATATATAATAGAACTATATTTTTTTAATTTTTTTTTTTAATGACATCGTATGTTGTCTTCATGTTTTTTTTTATGACTAAAGTATTATTTTTTATTGTAATTATTTATTCTGTGATAGTATGTTGAACAAATGTCTACTACCAATCTATGTCATATTGGATCAAAGAAACTGTCTGATGAAATAAAAACATATATTATTTGGTGTATTTTTTATAATGTCTGACGACGGTTTTAATTCGTTCCTGGAAATCCATTTTAAACTAGGATTACGTGCTTTTGTTCATTTAATGTGGTCTACATATTTTTTCATCGCTTATATTAAATTAAAACGTATTGTGTATGTTATTTTTCACCACACCCTACACAGGATTAGTATTTATTTTGTGTTTATTATAAATTATATTAAAAATAATATTA